GTGTGTGTGTGTGTGAGTGAGTGAGTGTGTGTGTGTGTGTGTGTGTGAGTGTTTGTGAGTCATATTTTGCTCTCAAGTCAGCAAGTTTATCTTTGATCCATCTCTCACTCTCTCACAGGGGAAGAGAGAGCAATAATTCTCTTACTTGAGCAACATCTTCATCTGTGAACACTTGCTCGGGCCTCAGGGGTGATCGTGGATGCACGGCTGGTTTACACCGGGATAAAAGCTCTCTTCTCTTTGATACGGACGCGTTTGGCTTCTCTGGGAATAAACCTCATCTCTGCATTTACCGCAGAGCGTACAAGACCGCAGACTTCCCTTCAACATGTTGATGCTGTAGGGGGAAATATCTTTCATCATATAGTTCTGATAAAAACCATGTTTAGGCTATCCTCTTTTAGATTTGTAGAGGAACATTGCAAAAACAAGACGTTTTCAAAAAACACAAATTTTCGTCAATCGGAATGAATCCAATCCAGTTTCAGATCCTGAAAATGTTGTTTATGAACCCTAAACTTTGCAATACGATCCGCTGATTTTTATTGATTTTTTTATGCGCATCCGAAATCCGAACAAAACTTCAGCGCATGCGCAGTTGTCCAATAGCCGCGTTTAGAGTGAAAACCGGACAAAAACTACCGCGATAACCGGAGCAACGTGAGTATAATCGTTCTTTTTGCTTTAAAAGAAATAGGCCCATCTAAAAAGAAAACGGTCATGCCAGAACAGTATTTCTGTATTAAATATTTCGTTTTCTCCAATGTCCAGTAAGACTAAATAAAATAGGCACGTTTGTACGACGCGAAGCGTAAACATATGCATAGCGGAACTGCGCATGCGCAAGGTATTTGCGAATCCGATTTCGAAAGTAGTAGGATTCAATTATTTACATGCTTATTTTTTTTCTTATCGATCATATTATTTTAGGTGTGCATATCCCCTTTAAATCCGATCGTAATTTAATTTAAATCAAGCTAAATAGTATAGCTTGCGATGTTTAAATAAGGCTTTTCAATCCAATTGAGCCATCAATCTAATTACTAACAGATTATTGGGTTGCATGTAAACGTAGCTACTGACCTGTACATTTTATCTGGTCACAAATCAGTACGGTCAACCAGATCTCAATGCTTGGTTGTCCAGTTAGTCGATCATCCATCTAAACCAGGCCTGATAATTTCACCAATTACAGATTTAGACACTCAACAAACCACGCAAATCCGATTTCCATCAGAAACCTATTTTAGCATCAATTTCCAGCCAGGTTGTTTCAAAATCAAGGGAAAATTTGTTTTCTTACTTTTGGAGAAGAGCGGTCAGTTTGTGGTGGGTTTTTGTGTTCTTGCCTAAAATAGATTTTTAAAAGTTCCATACAACAGGTTTTTGTTAGAGAGTGGAAATCTGTTCTGTTATGTAAGTGAACAGTAACAAGGACAGGTGAAGTTTGGCTAATGGTCCGACACACAGAAACCAATCCAGAAATCTGAGAGGCCAGTGACAGAGGGAAAGTTCTCAGGACGGCTCTCAGTTACAAACACACACTCCTGTGTCTGAGGACAGTAACAGACTGAACTTTCACGTGGAGTGAATGGTCAGATTTTTGTCCTGTGTGTCGTATCAAATCACCTCCATTGATGCTGCTTTCACAGCAACAAAAAACAGTTTTAGACCATTAAAACTAGCATCAAGCATGAATCTCAACGTGTCAAAAACATACCCAGGACACCCCAAAATCAAAAGAAGAGAAATACCAAATATTCTGATAAAAGACAATGAAGGTGATGTTTTTAGGCATTAAGGTTATTTTTATTTTTTTGGCATTGGCATTCTCGCTATTGCATTATATATAAACAGTGTTGGGAGTAACGCATAGGCCAGTGACAGAGGGAAAGTTCTCAGGACGGCTCTCAGTTACAAACACACACTCCTGTGTCTGAGGACAGTAACAGACTGAACTTTCACGTGGAGTGAATGGTCAGATTTTTGTCCTGTGTGTCGTATCAAATCACCTCCATTGATGCTGCTTTCACAGCAACAAAAAACAGTTTTAGACCATTAAAACTAGCATCAAGCATGAATCTCAACGTGTCAAAAACATACCCAGGACACCCCAAAATCAAAAGAAGAGAAATACCAAATATTCTGATAAAAGACAATGAAGGTGATGTTTTTAGGTATTAAGGTTATTTTTATTTTTTTGGCATTGGCATTCTCGCTATTGCATTATTGCATTATATATACAGTGTTGGGAGTAACGCATTAAAAAAGTAATAATATTACAGTAGTACTAGGTATTGTGTTTATTGTTTGTACATGATAATATTTCGCTTTATTTACCAGTGTTATTTATGAATGTAATAATGCGATTTGTGCTTATATTTTTTAACCTAAACTACAACGTAACATTAATGTAGACCTACATACCGGTATCTAAATATGATTTCATATATTTTATGCTATATAGACCTACCACGTTACCCTCCACTGGATGTAGAATGAGCAGCATTAAACTACATTTTGGCATTTTACAATACTTATGTGGATATTTTGGATGAAAATAACAAGTAAGTAACTCAAAAGTAGTGTAATGCATTACAATTCAGAGACAGTAATATTGTAATGTAACTAATTACTTTCAAAAGACAGTAACTAGTAATATATAATGTATTACATTTTGGAAGTAACTTGCCCAACACTGTATATAAATAATAAACATTAATTAAATAATAAAGAAATTAATTTAAAAAAAGCAATGCAATAGAAAGCAATGCAATGAAAACAATTATATAGTTAAACATTTTAAATATTTTAAGGTGCATTACGGTAGAACTTATGGTTAAATTGTCACAAATAAAAATCTAAAAATAAATTATATTAATGATTAAAAAATTAATTATAAATATAATAAACATGTTCATTTTCTTTATGTAAAATACAATGCTGTTTTATATCCTTTTGATTTTGGGATGAAATATATATATTTGATAAAAGACAATGAAGGTGATGTTTTTAGGCATTAAGGTTATTTTTATTTTTTTGGCGTTGGCATTCTTGCTATTGCATTATATATAAATAATAAAAAAACAATTAATTAAATAAAGAAATTACTCAAAAAGCAATGCAATAGAAAGCAATGCAATAAAAACAATTATATAGTTCAAATGTTTTTATATTTTAAGGTGCATTACGGTAGAACTTATGGTTAAATTGTCACAAATAAAAATCAAAAAAATAAATTATATGAATGATTAAAAAATTAATTATGAATATTATACAAATGTTAGTCTAATGCGTTTCATTTTGTTTATGCAATATTTTTGATTTTGGGATGAAATATATCACAGACCTGTTTTCACTCAAAAAACATGCGACTAGTTTTCTAAATCTTGAAATCAGCTTCTGGCGGGTCACAGGAGGGTTTCACTGTATGAAGAACAAATATACTGCAGAGAGAATCCGCAGCAACATTTCGACTCAGTGGAGCAGAAGAGACGCTCAACTGTTTAATGATTACACGCTTTTATTCTCTTTGATGCTTACTGCACGTTCTCTCTGCACAGTTACAGTTCTCTGTGCTGCAGCGCAGAAGTGTGCTGTGTTACAGCGCCACCTGCAGGTCACCACAGCCTCTTCATCGACCTGCATGGATTGAGGGAAAGAAAGCATCCCAACTTAAGATCTCCAGACGTTTTTGTATCACAAAGAAAATTAGAGAGGTGGCCTATCATTTAAGATTGTTCATCGTATTTATTAAGTTTTGTAAAGTGTATTTTCTGTAAATATATGTACATGTATATAAATGTGTGTGTGTATATATATATATAAACAAACAATTATTGTGATGCAATGTGTAAAACAATGCATCATCATTCAACAACTCTACCGTAGTACTAAATAATTATTGGTAAATTGGTGTATACACCAGTTTAAAAGTTTTTCTTCTGCTCACCGAGGCTGCATTAATTTGATCAAAAATACAGTAAAAATTGTGAATATTTTTACAATTTAAAATAACTGTCTTCTATGTGAATATCTGTTAGACTGTAATTTATTTCTGTGATGCAGCGCTGAATTTTCAGCAATTTACTCCAGTCTTCAGTGTCACATGATCTTCAGAAATCATTCTAATATGCTGATTTGCTGCTCAAGAAACATTTCTGATTATTATCAATGTTGAAAACAGTCGTGCTGCCCAATATTTTTGTGGAAACTGTGATATTTTTTATTTTTCAGGATTCACAGATTAATAGAAAGCTCAAAACAACAGCATTTATGTGCAATTGAAATATTTTGTAACATTATAAATGTCTTTACTGTCACTTTTGATCAATTTAATGCATCCTTGATGAATAAAAGTGTTAATTTCTTTAAGAAAAAATAATGAAAATCTTAGACATCAAACTGATGGTTCTACCGTATCAGAGACATGGCATGAAAAGGTTTTCCAGGACAAAAATCTAAACATTCTTACTTCAAGATACATGAAGCGAAATAAAAGTGTTTTCTGAAAATTGTATTAAAATGAAGTGAGTTTTTGCTTAAAACAAGAGAAAATATCTGCCAATGGGCTTAGAAAAATAAACTTAATTCAACGGAAAAATACCATTATTTTTCTCACCCCATTGGCACACATTTGTTCTTGTTTTAAGCAAAAACTCGCTTCATTTTGGGACATTTTCCAGAAAACAAGACTTAGTATCTCAAGTCATTTCACTTTTCAAGTAAATGCATATTTATTTAAGATTGTTTAGATATTTGTACTGCAAAACAAGACAAAAATATTAGACAAAAACCCTTCACTGCAATTGTTTAGGGTTTGATGATTATTATTAGTGGCTGATAGGAGGATATTTATGGGTATTTATGAAACGAGAGCCATAAAAGATGATAAAATCCTACAGATTAACATCAGACAGATGAGACGTTTTCTTATGTAATGTAGATAACACATGTTTATCAAATCACTGACCATATTTCACACACTACACAAAGAACAAAGTATAAACTGCACACTTTGTGCATCAATCACAACACAATCTAATCTGAAAGTAAAAACTATTGTCATATTTCCTCTTTTTCAATGCTCAACACACACACACACACTCGCTCTCACACACACACACACTCTCTCTCTCTCTCTCACACACACACACACTCACTCACACTCACACACACTCTCTCTCTCTCCC